TGTTGTTACTGCAGAATGTATTGTATTGTGGTTGATATGTGTTGTTGTTGTTGCAGGATATATTGTATTGTGGTTGATATGTGTTGTTGTTGCAGAATGTATTGTGTTATGAATGATATGTGTTGTTGCGGGATATATTGTATTGTGTGTGATATTTGCTGGTGTCTTTGTATTTCCAGGTATTCTGCCAACTTATCAAGCAAACGACCAGTCCACCAAACGCTGATTCTATTGGCAATCTAAGAAACATGCAGGTATAAATACATATTACCCTTTCATGGATCAGTACACTGTTATCATCTCCATCCACTAATCTGAAATATCATATTTTCCATCTTGTTTCTCCACACAGGTGTTAGTTTGCATGTGTTGCACATTTATTCCTACAAGAAAATACTTACGATATCTGCGCTCCCATCTGAAAAGGTAACGCCCTAGATGCTGAGCACCACACGACTTTTAAGGTGTCGTTGTACCTTCTTATGATTTTAACAATACTTGCCTTATACAACAACAAAAACAGTAAGACAATCACAAGACAAATGTCTTAATCTAAACATTAACTTGATAACTAGTTTTCTCTGATTTGTAAAGTGTTCTTTTTACGTCTAGAATGAACACTTTACAATTCAGAGACATCTAGCTATCAAGTTAACATTTAGCCTGTATAATGCCAGTCTTAATCCATTTGTTTCTCTTCGTCTGTCTTCGTCGCTTTTTTCTTCTTGCATCATTTTCAGCCGTACAAACGTATATCAGTATTGCACTGGATTCATATTTCAGCCCTAAAAATTTCACATGAAACAGTTTTCACATGATCTTGAAATTCGACTTGATTTCAGGCTGCGAGACAAGAATCCCGATACAGAAATGTCAAAGTTCGCTGTATTCGCTCTTGAATGCGCCAAAAGAGCGCGCCCAAGGTATGTAATCAAGTAAAGTAAGTAAATTGTTTGTGTTCATTAAGACAAGATTCGATGTGCTCGGTTAAAAATACTGATAATCAGTACAAAGAAATGCTTACAGGCCTTTGCTATGTTACATGGACATGTTACATTCAGGTCAATGTACAAATACCTATTATTTGTCATATCTTATATGGTATTATTTGTTTCCGAACCTGGAAGGACCTATCAAAGTTATAGAACCAGGGTTAAGGCTAGAGTAACTATTATACCTGCATTCGTTGATATTCGACGTTTTCTTTTTTTATGATATGCAGAGAATTCCCTCCCTCCAGAGAAGAAATCATTTCCCTTCTGGTAAGTAAGACTTGAGTGCAACATCAGTTTTATATTGAACTTCTTGGGGTCCGCGTCATTCGCTTGTTGCACCTGCATGAGCCAACGGCCACCATACACAGCGAAGCTTTGCTAACTGACCCCAGACGAAGGGCGAGGCAAAAAGCTTTGTTTTGATGTATTCCTTCTAGAGGGCTACCAATAGTAGTTTACAGTAGCGCTATCAAGCAGAATGCAGGATTTATGATATTCCTTTAGTTTGATCGTACTAAATCATTTCAAATTTTTAATGTGGTATCGTGTTTGTTTTGTGTGTAGGGTCGTAGAGAATTGTCTGCTGTTGTACACTGTTATGGAGGAGGTTCGTGTAAGATTACTATCAACTCATCTACCACAGCAGGAGAGGTACGTTACTTAAAAACGCTAACAAATCCCCCCCCCCCCCCCTCCCAATATCTCCAACGCTAGCCTATTCTCCCTTGATTTTCAATACAACTTCCCAATACCTATAAGCCCTGTTATCTGCGTAAACTTGTCTACATCTTTCTGTTTGTTTTTCAAGGTGACCGAAAGACTGAGCAAAGGTCTAAACTTGACCCAAGAATATAATATATTTTCACTGTTTGAGCAATGCGGCTCGATGGAAAAGAGTATCGAATCAAGGACAGTTCTTGCAGATGTGTTGTCGAAGTTTGAACGGTGAGTAGTCTCCTTTACAGCCGTTCTTAGTGTTCAAAGGAGACCAAACGTTGAGTTACTTAAAAGAGGATACCTCAATATCGACCAGTTACAGCAATGAGCTAGTACATCAAATCAAATCTACGCGTTTAAGTTTAATCCGAAGTCGTTACATCATATATCATGTCAAAACGCGAAAGCCTCAAAGATAGCCTAACTGTTGCATCAGTTTTAAAAAGTCACCTCTGCGCGTTACGTTCACATTTGGATAGAACGCGCAGCATCGCCATACGCACACTGTACTACTTTACCATACACGGTAAGGCACAGTATCAGTAGGTTCGCGCGCAAACTGCGTATTTCCAGGAAGAGCCCGTTACATCATGCATCCAGCCTGACGCATCGACTAGTGCTATCAATATGGTTTTAAATGTTTTTTTGTTGTCTGATGCTTCTGTTTCAGATACAAAGCTTTAGGCATGACAGAAGCTGGCAAGAAATGGAAATTATTTTTCAAGGTATTCTGTTACCTTGAGCCAGAGAAAGTACCAGATGAAACCGTCGAATCAGGATTCCTTTACGAACAGGTGACTAAGAAACAGTCAACACATATGCATGCCCTTAAAGATATTTTAACAGCGGCTTATTATGGATGGAGGGAGTTTTCGAGAATAAAGGGTCAAGAATGAGGCAGGAGTCTGGTTCGTGGCCTCCCTAAGTTTTATGAAGTGAGGTGTTTATTTTAATAGACTGGAGACCCGGCCTGGAATTTTCTGCACCTCATACCCAAATACGCGTCGATTCTAAATGGATATAAACCCTTTCTTAACCAGTATTTAGAGTCGACATTAAAGAACTTGTTGGACTATTCGTATAAGAGCAGGGGATTTTCTTCCTGTTCAACAGCCTTTACGTGTTGTAGGCATATCTTATAATAACAACTCATAATTGTAATCTGCGTGACAGCCAATGGCGCCTTATAGCAGCCCGTAAAGTCCTTGACTAAGAATTAAAAGATTATGCAAGCGCATTGAGACGCACGTATAATGCGCTATATAAAAAGTTCATATATTATTTTTGTTAAAAACAAATGTTATTCCCTTCCGTTACAGACTCACTGCTTCTCCGCACCATCGGCCCTTTGTCATGTCTGTCTTTCTGTCCACTTACCTATTTTGTCCGTTTGTTTGTTAGGCATGCGATGCTATTTTACAAGGCAAGTACCCCTCCCCAGAGACAACAGTCTGCGTGCTAGCGGCTTTACGGCTACAATTCACAGATGGAGATTATCGAGCAGGCGCCTGGGTGTAAGTATGCTTCGGTACACTGGTACTGTCTGTACTATCATAACCATTCATGTATGTTCCTTTATACATCTTGCATGATGATTCTATTCAGGTCAGAACTGGAGACAGTATACCCGATGGGAAGACTGAAGCACAAAGTCAAATCTGAAATGAAGATATCACGTGAGAAGTCTTTCAGCTTTAAGGGGACTTTACGTAAAGCAGTCAATCCTTTCATATCAGGTAACTGCCTCGATCTGGTTATCTATGGAAGTCAAAGTATTCTAGTTGGCATTTCTCAGCGAATTGTGGGGGAATACGGTGCGTTATACATGTATTTGACGTGGTTACTGCCAGTGGTACTGACGTCATGTCCCAATAGTTTGCTGCTATATCACGCGTTACCCTTTTAGTTGAATACGGTGTCGCGTTATCCATGTACCCGACGTGATTACTGCCAGTGGTACTGACGTCATGTCCCAGTAGTTTGCTGCCATATCACGTGTTACACTTTTAGTTGATCTATTGTATCATAGGGTCTTCCCCTCCCGAAGAGACAGAAGAAGGGTCAGGTGCTGCCAGTGAAGAAGAATTATCAGCCATTAAGAGCTCGATCTGCGAACAGTGGAAGAAGTTCCAGGTATATATTTTTACGTGCGATGTTCGATTGTATCGCATAATGACTATGTTATATTAGACTTGAATACGTGTTTGTTTTTGGTGTTAGGGTATGGATCAGGAGCAAGCTCAACGACAGTATATGGATATCGTCAAGAGCTGGCCAGGATATGGATCAACCTTATTCGAAGTAGAGGTACTTAACCAAATAGTTCGAACATTTAAAATAGTCATAATGATGTATTGGAAGAGGAAGTTGCAACGGACCTGAAGGAGAGGAGGTCGAATGCATCTCACTGATTTTCTCACTCTCAAAATGCACTTTGAATAGAAATAAAGATAATGTATTACCTTGCAATTGTTCAGTTTTGTTACTGTATCAACTTCACTGTCTACTTACATCAAGAATCATATGCACCTTGGCTTCAAACCAACCCTTACTAATTCAAACTGGTTAGAGCTATGCTCCGGGGTCAGTCCTACATGGATTGTATAGCGGCTGCCAGAGGCGGCTTCAAATTGCTTTCAGTTCGACCCCGTTGAGCTGCGTCACTGCTGTACTTGCGGTAGTGAATAGCGATAACGGTTTTAGTTTTATAGCACGAGTTGACTTTCGTTCTTTCCCCATTAATTAGACAAAAGACCCTAGTCTACCAAATGACCTCTGGATTGGGGTGAGCTTCAAGGGTGTGTCTATCTACAAGCGGGGAGACATGAGAGCGCAGTGTTCCTATACTTATGAAAAGTAAGTTATATTGTTACTGCCCCTTCTTCTCGGGTTCAACTGCTGTATGACGTCAAATCTGTAATATTCGTTCGTTCATTTTCTTCTTAGTATTCTATCATTTGGTGCTCCTCAACCTAACGTTTACAAGATTGTTGTCGATGGTAGAGATGCAATGCTCTTTGTAACTAATCAGGTATGTAAGTTCTATAAGAAATAAGACATACAAACTTTCAACAGAATTCATAAAATATTCCTCGTTTTATATGCAATACAGTAAACACCCGCATATAAGAACACACGATTTCAGTGTACAGGCTGATTGAGTTCTTATTTATCGGGTGCTTAGTGACAAATCAGCCTCAAAATGTTCTTAAAGTGTTCTTAAATTTTTGTTTAGTAAAACTATCCAAAACATGTTACTAGAGTCATAATTAGCATATTTAGGAGTACACGATACCAAAACAAGACAGTTTGACAGATGACAGAGTTATGAAGTTATCTGACAGCAAACATAAACTTACATGTTGTGTAATTATGACACTTTTTCCATTTTATAAGAACACGTTACAATTTTCAGGCTGATCTTGTTCTTATAAAAATGGGGTTTTATTGGCCAAATTTCAGCCTGTTGTTCTTAATCCATTTGTTCTTATATGCGGGTGTTTGCTGTATATATGTATATATAATTTGGGCTTGATCTTTTCGCTTGAAATACATAGGTCATCGAGATTGCCAAACTTATGAAGGCTTACATTAACGAAATAGTACGACGGCGAAGAGAAAGCAGAATGAGTCAACAATATTCAAACGGCTCCTGACACAGGAAACATCAACATGAGAACGTTCTACGTATGTAGAGTACATCTGCGTTTCTACTCTACTTATAAAAATCAAACCCATGACAAAATGCTTAATATAAGATATATGTAAAAAGATTCTGTAGTAGTCATATACACATTTTATTAGATGATTTTGTTAGTAACGCAGTGGAGTAACAAGTCTTCACCCGGATTAGGACACCTTATCAGGAACTATGACGTAATTAATATGGTGTAATATGTCATTGCTAGATATATGGTTAAGACCGAATATGGCTAAATAGCGTTATAATTACACAATACCAAGATAACTTTCGGCTAAGGAAAACAAAATATTTTTTAATTTGTAATTTTATTCACAAATCGAGAGAAATTCGTTTCTCAGATATCAAAATATCCAACGCGGCGTAGAAAAAAAAGTAACACAAATATTGTGTTTATTAAATACATACTTCTTTTGATATGTTTATAAGCAGACAAGCGTGTGTTAGGCAGGGGTTGGAGGGGTGTAATTGTGTGACTAAATTTGCGTAGTATAGACTTGACATACCATGATAGATCGAAGAATTCATCTTTCCAATTTATATTTCCATGCGCAATGTGTTTATTTCCAGCCTTGCTTTAAACTCTGGAAAGATATAGTGAATTGTTAAAATGATTGCATGGCAATGTTTTATTGAATAACAAATCTTATTCAAACAAAGGCACAAAAATGTTACCTAGTAAATAGCTAGTGATTCTGAGCATAAAAATACTGCTAATTTAAAGCTTAAACAATATGTTAACAATATGTGGTAAGACTATGTTATGTTAGAATCACCTCTTAGTAAGGATATGCTGATAGTGTTGTTGTATTTTGGATTATTTACTCATGTGCGGATCAGTATAATACTTAGTATGAATATTTTTAATTTAATAAATTCGTAAAAAAAAAAGCTTGTTTTTTCTTTGTCTGTTTATATATCAAAAGTTATGAAAACTATCTTAACTTTATCCTGTTTTCCCACGAATACTGGGCAGAAGTTATCCACCTGATAAAGTTATCCARTGTACATAGGATTCGTATTMTTGGTTTTCACCTACGTCATCATGAATTTCAAAAGCGTAAATTCGCATTATAATAAAATAGAAGTTGTATATTCTTGTAAAGCAGTCCAAACTACATATACTGGCCAAATTTTAAGGCTGTAAAGCATTTAGTTGCGGAACTATAGGCGAGTAAACATGACGCAATTTTTGGTTAAAATGTATGGAGCGGCCATCTTGGTGTTCCAAGTTGGTACACCATCATGGCGGACGAAACTCCAAAGGCTTAAAATCATGAAATATACTTTATACGCATACTTTAAATAGATATTTCAAACGTGTCTACGGGAAAATCATTCAACTAAAATAAATTATTTTAATATTTCCATCGCTATTTAGCTAGACGTGACGGTACTGCGTGACAAAAAGTCAACCTTCATAACTCGGGAACCAAACATCGAAATGACTCGAGATTTTTTCTTGTGACTTATAACACTGATTCCTAAAACATACTTGAGAAATGTCTTTATACGATCTATAGTTTAGATTTTGATGTTTTGATGACGTCATGTGAAAACCAGCAATAGGTTTTATTTGCTGGATAAGGATTTATCCGGTGAATAGCACTATTCAGTTTTTGTACAACTGCACCCACCCAGTAGTCTTGTTGTCCATGACAGACTAGTCATGTCAACACTGGTCAACACTACCTGCAGTACCACTAATCATGTCACAGGATCTATTGTACCACAGTAGTCTTGTCCATGACAGACTGGTCATGTGACA